TTTCTCTCCTTTTCTACCGGCTCTACAGGTGGTCGAAATTGGACTCTCCGATGGCCGCACCTTTTACAAAATCGCCCGCGAGGCAAAACAACCGAGTCCACATTCTTTGAAGATGCGGCCGGAACCGAAGCAGGGCAGCCTATGAGTCCGGTGCAGGTGAATCATACGACGTGCACATGCATACGCACCAAGTAGCCATCTCTACCACAAACCGACTGAGCGTAATTGTCTTAATCAGGCCATGAGTCGGCCCGAGGTGTCTCCAACTTTTGGTGACGAAAGGAGAAAGTTCGGTACATGGGTGCGCACAAACAACACCAGTGTGCACCGGAGTACACAACCGTCCAGTTCTGTTTCAACCCCCCTCGTCCTCTGTGTGCATGTGCACACGAGCACTCGACGTGTGCAAACATGTTTGGGTTTACTAACAATAACATGGGCTTATTAGATTACCTCGAATTAGTGAGCAGATCGTTTATGCAAACTTGGCTCAGCCAGCAGGCTTGAAAGTTGGGCCCTCGAGGCACATGTCCGTGGGCACCTGTCGTCGCAAGAACGGGGAGTTTGCATTCGACGGCAGTACACAACGGAAGAAGGGAGATGCCAACCACATGTTTGGCTTGGTTTCAGCCAGATTCCGGACGCCATGCACCCAAGTATGAGTGACAGATTGATACCCTCGCATATTGTGCCACAAGAGATGGGATATCCCATGCCAAGCTTCATCAGTCGATTGGACCTCCTCGTCGTCTGATCTTTGCTTTAAGCGAAGCAATTTATTTCGACTCATGATCTCCGAGTCGAAGGGACGCAAGCACTTTTTTTAAGTTGACCTCTGGCTTTCCAACTGGATAGAGATCGGTGTCCGAAAGCCAGGTCTGGGAGATGAAAGTGGGGATCCATTCAAGCTCAGTTTGGTGCAAACTCCAAGATCACTTTTAAGACGAAACTCTTCGTTTTAGCTGAGGATAAGACCGTCTAGCCAAATCTACGGGATGGTTGCATTCACATTTAAGTTGCGAGAATAATTGGCGATACTTTTGTTTGTTTATAAGTAGGCTTTCTCGTCTATCAGTAGTTCATTGATATATGAAGTATATTCACCCAATTTCATTTAGGATGATAAGGGGACTGGTAGTTGAATTTTGCTACATGCATATGAATAGACCTAACGTTTCCATTGAATTCCACATAACCTTGCTTTTCCAAATGGTATTCACATCCAGGCTGAAGTGGATTACAGTTTCGACATCCCTTATCACCTAAAACGAAATAAGGTGAATACATTTCATACATATGACCTACTGGTAGCATATAAATACTGCATATAAACGAAAAAATAAGTAATGTAGTCAATTGCTTCTGCAAATACAACTTTGCTGCATATAAAATCACATAACAGAATGTGATGTGGGAAAAAGGCCTGACCCTACTTGAAATTTATATCTGCTCTGTGGCCCAAAGGCATTCGTGGCAATGTGGCATAGTGGTTAGCGTGTCGAGGTTGCACGCTGAATAGCCAGGGTTCGAGTCCCGCTGGGGGTGCTCGTTAGATGTAGGCGAGGTCGGAACTACAGCCCATCCTGGATGAAAATACATTTTGGGAAAGAAATGCAATTTGAAGTTTAATGGAAACTTTTGGTCTACTTGACTACCAGTCTTCTTATCACCATAAACGAAATTGGTTTAATATATCTCACATATTCTTGAATAAATTCGCAATCTTCTTTAGTTATTTGGAACCTTTATCACAGCTGTTGATGGGACCTCCCATTGAGGGGCAAGATTAAGATTCCTCTAGCGGAGATTGAATCATAAGGTTCTAGTTACTATCATGACTAACTCAACTATTCCGCTAGCAAGACTGCAACAAACTCTTTCGGAAGTTGGAGTAGCTATTATTTCGCTTGAAGAGGCGAGTGGAATGGATTCGTAAGTTGGTTCTATCGGAGGCTGTAGGGCGGTATCCTTGGAGCTATTGTTGTAGATTTGTGCGAATAGATACTCGGCGCACCGCCCTGCGACCCCGACGAATCCTTGCTGAATTTTCGTCCGGCATGTGACGGACATCGTCATAGCAGGCCACCATGCTTTACGATAATTCGCCAAAACACGAAGACAATAAGGGTGGCTGGCTTCAAACCTACTTCTTTCTTATATTCCAATTTGGTCCACTTATGCATCTCATGTTTTGGTTGGATGTCCTATGCCTTGCCCCTACCTTTGCTCATAAGTTGAGTGAAATGGGTGCGATTGAAAGAGAACAGCTACATCTTCCCCTAAAACATGTATGCGTTTGATCCTTCAAGGTTACCGCATGTGATTGCGTCCAATTGCACACGTGTTGTGTGAATGCAGCATTGCTCTTGAAATGAGTGTGATGTGGGAGCCAAAACTAACTGTACTCCAACATGAATCTATTAAGGGTTTCTTCGAAACCTAGTTTTTCTACATATCTCTCGGAAGTGACTGGAACAAGTTGAATAATGTTGACATACTCTTAATTTAGTGTGAAAAAGCGAGTGAAAGGATTAGTAAATTGGCCTCACCAGACCGATTACTTGTGGCCCCTGGAGTGTGCGAAGCAGACCTTAGCTGACAAAGATCAATTCATGCTGGGCTTTCTTCTGTCATGTGGCATGCATCGTCACAGCCAGAAACACCCATTTACGAAAAATATTATCAAAGACACTAAATGAAGAAAAGTGGTCGGCTGAAATTCCACTTACATCTTAAATTTAGCGATCGTAATGGGCAATCCGAAGATTAGATTCCAGGAGGAAGCAGGATTTCGACCGAATACCTCGCTTCGCTTGGTGTGTTTGGTGACATTTTCGTAAATGATGTTTTCTGGCTCTGACGATATTTGTCGCATAACAGACACAAGGTAAGCACGGATTCATCTGGATCGCAGGAAGGTGAGCCCAGGACCAGCAGCCAAAATTCCTTCTGTGCGCGATGAGGCCAAGTTATGAATCCCCTTCCACTCAAAATAAAAGTTAAGCCAACACCAATCTATTAAGGGATACTTCGAAACCCAGCCAAGATATGACAATTAGACGAAACTTGATCCCAAGGGGTCGAGAGGCCTTGACAACACTGCTCTCACCACCGGGCCATGAGCCATTTTAATAGCCATAAATGGAAACAGTTAATTCGAAACCATAGCGACAACGACCTAAATCTAAGCCCTCATAGTCTCTATAAGGCAATAAAAACCATATGCCAACATATACAGTCCCGCAAGAGCCCTGTTAATCTGTTTTTTAGGAAGTGAAATCGGCACTAATCTCAAATAGTTAATTATCAATAAAAACTTGTGCGCTTAGGTCCCTCTCATGCCGCGAAATCAACTATTACTAACGAGATAGTAAGTAGTTAATCCGGATTAGTGTCAGAAATACTTTTGCCTATCGATATGAAATTCCATCCAGAGTTGCCCAAAATGATACAGGCATAATATGCTTTTTATCTGGTAATATGAGGATTTCATACATAGAAAAGTGAAATTCGGTGGAAAAACAAATCTTTAAGCTACCGGTTTAATAAGAAACAATTCGAAACTAGTGCACTCTTTTTCGGTTAAATTCATTTCGAGTTAAAGTGTTTGTTGTTAAGATTGGTTGACCGATTTAAATAGAGGTTAGACATATATATATATATATATATATATATAT